TGATTTTCCCAAATGTCCACACACATGTACCGTGCGCCCCTTGTATGGATGCGATTACAGAGCACCCAGATGCACAGAATGCAGCGCCTGCCACGACTTCGGCAACGGCATCGCCAAAGTGCTGCCCCTGCCACGATTTCGCAACGGCATCGCCAAAGTGCTGCGCCTGCCACGATTTCGCACACCCCCCGCCGCGCGCGCGACAACATCCTGTCCCTCTAGACAGCTGCCGAATGCGACCCCTGCCAAACAAACACACACCCAGATGCACAGAATGCTGCGCCTGCCACGACTTCGGCAACGGCATCGCCAAATTGCTGCGCCTGCCACGATTTCGCAACGGCATCGCCAAAGTGCTGCGCCTGCCACGATTTCGCACACCCCCCGCCGCGCGCGCGACAACATCCTGTCCCTCTAGACAGCTGCCGAATGCGACCCCTGCCACACAAACACACCCCCAGATGCACAGAATGCTGCGCCTGCCACGACTTCGGCAACGGCATCGCCAAAGTGCTGCGCCTGCCACGATTTCGCAACGGCATCGCCCAAGTGCTGCGCCTGCCACGATTTCGCACGCCCCCCGCCGCGCGCGCGACAACATCCTGTCCCTCTAGACAGCTGCCGAATGCGACCCCTGCCACACAAACACACACACAGATGCACAGAATGCTGCGCCTGCCACGACTTCGGCAACGGCATCGCCAAAGTGCTGCGCCTGCCACGATTTCGCAACTGCATCGCCAAAGTGCTGCGCCTGCCACGATTTCGCACGCCCCCCGCCGCGCGCGCGACAACATCCTGTCCCTCTAGACAGCTGCCGAATGCGACCCCTGCCACACAAACTCACACCCAGATGCACAGAATGCAGCGCCTGCCACGACTTCGGCAACGGCATCGCCAAAGTGCTGCGCCTGCCACGATTTCGCAACGGCATCGCCAAAGTGCTGCGCCTGCCACGATTTCGCAAACCCCCCGCCGCGCGCGCGACAACATCCTGTCCCTCTAGACAGCTGCCGAATGCGACCCCTGCCACACAAACACACACCCAGATGCACAGAATGCTGCGCCTGCCACGACTTCGGCAACGGCATCGCCAAAGTGCTGCGCCTGCCACGATTTCGCAACAGCATCGCCAAAGTGCTGCGCCTGCCACGATTTCGCACGCCCCCCGCCGCGCGCGCGACAACATCCTGTCCCTCTAGACAGCTGCCGAATGCGACCCCTGCCTCACAAACACACACCCAGATGCACAGAATGCTGCGCCTGCCACGACTTCGGCAACGGCATCGCCAAAGTGCTGCGCCTGCCACAATTTCGCAACGGCATCGCCAAAGTGCTGCGCCTGCCACGATTTCGCACACCCCCCGCCGCGCGCGCGCCAACATCCTGTCCCTCTAGACAGCTGCCGAATGCTACCCCTGCCACACAAACACACTCCCAGATGCACAGAATGCTGCGCCTGCCACGACTTCGGCAACGGCATCGCCAAAGTGCTGCGCCTGCCACCATTTCGCAACGGCATCGCCAAAGTGCTGCGCCTGCCACGATTTCGCACACCCCCCGCCGCGCGCGCGACAACATCCTGTCCCTCTAGACAGCTGCCGAATGCGACCACTGCCACACAAACACACACCCAGATGCACAGAATGCTGCGCCTGCCACGACTTCGGCAACGGCATCGCCAAAGTGCTGCGCCTGCCACGATTTCGCAACGGCATCGCCAAAGTGCTGCGCCTGCCACGATTTCGCACGCCCCCCGCCGCGCGCGCGACAACATCCTGTCCCTCTAGACAGCTGCCGTGAGTCAGCGAGTGTGAGTGAGTGAGTGAGCGAGTGAGTGAGTGAGTGAGTGAGTGAATGAGAGTGAGTGAATGAGAGTGAGTGTGAGTGAGTGAGTGTGAGTGAGCGTGTGTGAGTGGGTGAGTGAGTGTGAGTGAGTGTGAGTGAGTGAGTGTGAGTGAGTGTGAGTGACTGAGTGTGAGTGAGTGAGTGTGAGTGAGTGTGAGTGAGTGTGAGTGACTGAGTGTGAGTGAGCGAGTGTGAGTGAGTGAGTGTGAGTTGAGTGAGTGTAAGTGAGTGAGTGAGAGTGAGTGAGTGAGTGAGTGAGTGAGTGAGACGGAGACGAGCGGGAGAAGGAGGAGACGCGGCGCGCGGACGACGAGCGGAAAAAGTAAGAACCCCACACAAAGATGTGGGGAAGAACCCCACACAAAGATGTGGGGAAAAAACATGGCGGGGGGGTTGGGGGGGCGGCACCCCCCCTGATGATTGAAAAAGTGGATCGAAAAATTAGGGGCAAATAATCAAAAAAGTAGCTGTTGCATGATGAACGAAAAAGTGATGATTCAATTAGGCGAGGGCACCAGAGAGGATCTTGCGATGCTGAGGATGCAGGAAGCCAAGGCCAAAAACCAACTGGGAAAGCAGAGGATGCGAAAAGCCAAAAGCCACAAAGCCAAAAAGCCACCTGCCACAGCAGAACTGGCAATGCAGAGGATGCGAAGAGAGGAGTTGTGAATGCAGAGGATGCGAAATGAAAAGCCACAAAAGCCAAAAACAAACGAAAAGCCACCCACCCTGAAAAACAAAAAATCCTTCAAAAAACAAGAAAAATCCTAAAAACACATGCCCTCCGTGGCTTACTGGTGGAAAGTGGCCGCCAAGTGTGCAACCAACCAACCGACCGACCGACCGACCAACTCAACCAACCAACCAACCAACCAACCAACCAACCAACCAACCAACCAACCAACCAACCAACCAACCAACCAACCAACCAACCAACCAACCAACCAACCGGCACTGGAGCCCTTGCTGAGCTGCGAGCAACTCCTAGGAGAAAAAACGTCGCCTCCGGTCGCTGGCCCGGCTGGGGTTGGGCCTGTAATGAGGTATGTGACGGCTATGTAACGAGGTCTGTAACGAGGCAAAGCAAAGCACAGTACGCAAAGCGCCTCCGCAGCTCCGGTTATTTGCAGCCATTCAACGCAAGCCAGGCTGCGGCAAAAAGAGGGCAGTCACGTCACTGGCCCGGCTTGTTCAACTGGGGTGTGTAACGAGGGGTGTGTAACGAGCCAGATGGTCTTGTTACAGAGGTCTGTAACGAGGTCTGTAACAAATGTCCGCTGCGGCTCTGTTACAGACCCCTCAAAAAAATCACTGCCATATCCTTTTAAAACAAGAGCGATGATTGGTTGATTCGTCGTGAGACTCGCAGATATCTCTCAACCAGCCGACTCGGCACCCCCCGGCCCCAGAGTGTACATGTCGGTAAATTGTTTTACATGGAAACCTCACCCCCCCCCCCCCACCACCCAAAAAAAACAATAATCTGGAAAAGGGAAAGGTCTGAGATGAAACAGATGCCAGTGCAGAGAGGGCTGCTCATAGACGAGAACCGCCGCATTGGCCAAAAGCACACAACCCACGATCCTCGGTTCCGGCGTATCTTCACAACCCTTGGGATGGTAGTAAAAAACGTTGTTTTTTGCAGCCCGCAAACCTAACTTGCCAAGAACAGTGAAGGTATGAAAGAACAGCACACACACAATCAAGAAGGACTTCCCTGATAATTCGTGATGTCGGCTGAAGAACTGAGACGGGCCAGGTATTTGTGACAGAGTTGCCGCCGATCTAAGCCCGCAAAATTGCAGGGACTCATCAGGCGGTGAGGAATCAAAAGCTGGCATGTCGTGTTTAAGGACCCTCCCACAGAAAACCGAAATAAACCCACGTTCCAGACAAAACGACCACCACCCTGTTTAAGCCAACCCAATAAGGAAAAACACAGAGACATGTGTTTCAGGACACCGAACAAAAACAAAGATCCCCCCCCCAAAGCAGGAAAAACAAAAAACAAAAAAAACCAACGGGAGTTTTCCACCGCGTTCGGGGGATCGATCATCCGAGAGTCAGGTCCAAAGGCCCTGAAGTCACGAAGGACCTGAGCTTGGCGTGGTAGGTGCTACCGCTGATGGGGTTCGTCAGCCTCCTGGTCATCGCGGTGTCCTGGTCCGAATTTTGTGCTTCGGGTGGCTCGAGAAGTTTTTGGGAGTTGGCGCCCCCTCCTTTGTGGAGGTTTCAAGGGGAAATGATCATTCTTGGGGGTCCCCAAGAAAAACGTCACGATTCGAGAATTGAGCAGGTTTGCACTTGGGCGGGGGGGTGGCAGGCGGGTGGACGGGGGGTGACTAGGACTCTGTGATAACAACACAACATGACCCACTGGCCCAAACAAGTTCTTTGCCTTGAGAAGACTTGAAACACATTTCATATTCTAGGTGATGTTTTATGCTGCCCAAAAACCCAGTGACAATTGGGTCTACAGGCTTATAAAGGTTTCCATGCACCTTACTATAAACCCAACAAAAGCAGGTAGTAGAACCACCTACTAAGATAGTCAATCGGAGTCTTGGGTGCTGCTCAAATGGGTCTGTCCCAAAAATAGGGGAACGCCAAAATGGGTGGTTTTGCTTTCGTTAACCCCGAAAGAAAATAACGTCCTGTTGGACGAGGACCCTCTGACTGCGTTGGGGGCGGGGGGGACACCATGATCCCGTAAGAGCAAACATTTTGCTCCAACCGGGGAGACAAATGGCACCTGGCGAAGATCATTCCAAGGGCCAGTTTTAGTGGTAAAGTTATGACGCTTGGATTTTGGGGAACATCCACTCGATCGGAAGTGAGCTTTTTGACTTGTTGAATGGGTTCTCACAGATGGCTGCCTTTGGGATTCTGTAGGATGTTTGCAAATGGGATATTGGACACCCCTGAAATGGGCCGGGGGTGTCTGTGACTTGAAACAAACGTCCCAGTGGGCCTCAAATCAAGACCTGTAAACAACGGGCATCTGAGAGATCCTTCGGCGAAGTTGCCTTGAGTCTCTACATGATCAACCTTCAAGGGGGGAAATCGGTTCAGTTGCCTCCAGGTTGCTGGTCTGCGTGCCTTAGACCTGGAAACAATGCTTGTTTTAGTCAAACCTAAACAGGTCAAACCTTTTGTTTAAAAAGTGGAAGGTTCAGGAACTCAGGCTGGGGTCAGAAGGTGGCTGAGTTGGCCCTGTCCTGGATCTTCTTGACCAATCGCGGCCGTCCAGAGATGGTCCGGTTCACCGCAAAATTCTCCGATTTTACCCGGGACATGCGGTGATCTTCGTTGGTCCCTGCCTCGGCATTGCGACGGCCCGAGCAGCATAGAAGACTTGGGTCTTGAGGGAATGGACAACCAAAGAAGCAACAGAAATAAAGAAAATCAAGACAATCCTGGAATGGACAACCGAATCTTAAAAACCAGAGTGTGCCCTTGATCGAACAAGAGGCTCGGATCGGAGCAACGCTCTGCCAAAACTCTAGAAAAGTCCATTCCCCTTTCGATTACCAAGTACGCCCACACCCACACCCACACCCACACACCCACACCCACACCCACACCCACACGCACCCACACAGCCACACACACACACAGAAGCACACACACACACACAAGCGCACACACACACACACACACACACACACACACACACACACACACACACACACACACACACACACACACACACACACACACACACACACACACACACACACACACACACACACACACACACACACACACACACACACACACACACACACACACACACACACACACACACACACACAAACACACAGAAACACACAGAAACACACAGAAACGCACAGAAACACACAGAAGCACACAGAAGCACACACACACAAACACAGAAGCACACACACACACACGGAAGCACACAGACACACACAGAAGCACACACACACACAGAAGCACACACACACACACAGAAGCAAACAGAAGCAAACAGAAGCACACAGAAGCACACAGAAGCACACAGAAGCACACAGAAGCACACAGAAGCAGAAGCACACAGACAATCATACACACACGCCCGTCATACCCACCCTTCTTGAACACTCTCCCTGTCAACTGGATTCTACCTGGCTCCCATGTTTGGGCCCAACCAAAAAATCGTAAAAATCAAATTTGTCAAACCACCAGGTTTGGGCTTGTCCCAACCCACCCCCCCCCCCCTCACCCCCCTCACCCCCCTCACCCTTCTCACCCCCCTCACCCCCCTCGCCCCCCTCACCCCCTCACCCCTCTCACACTCCCTCACCCTCCCACCCGCCCCCTGCCCCGCCTCACCCCCCCCACTCTCCCCAAATCCCAAGCCCTGCCTTCTTGGGCGTCACCGCTTCGCGCGGCGCGCTGCGCTCCGCGCGCTCCATCGGCCGGACCGCCGCCAGGATGGCCTCGTGGCTCTCTTGCAGCTGGCGACAGAGACTCGCCTGGTCCGTGGCGCTTCGTTCGCAGATTTTCCGTGGCTTGAAGATCGGTCGAAACCCGCAACAAGCGTGTCAAGTGTCAACCCACCCGATGGGTATCGCACATTTCTCGTGGCTTGAAGATCGGTCAAACCCCCGAAACAGGTATCCCTTTCGGGAATCTGGGCTCACGTCTTGGCTGACCAGTCGGCGGTTTTGGGACTGGAAAATGAAACTGCTTTGGCACAGGTGCCAACCGGAGCAGGATTGTTTTGGCCTTAACTTGCATATTGTCGCAGTCGAAGTCGGGCCATTCCCGCTAACGCGATGGCATACTGGCTTCGGAGAAGCGTTCAGGGCATGCAGCATGCGGTTGCTATTTTGTTGGTTGTGTTCCGGTGGGCTCAATGATTGGCATCAGGAACCAGTCTGAGGGTTAACAGTGTGGCGTGCAGTTTATGGCATGGTCTTTAGTCTTTTGTGGCAATTCGGTATGCCAGGGGCAACTACTGGGCTCAGGTTCTTTGACACCTGGATTCCCTTGGCTTCTAACCTCAAGACCAAATTTGGTGCCTGCTAAGAGCTAGGTCGGGGGGGGGGGGGGGTTATCCCAGCTCCTGAATTTCGCTCCCTATTACTTGTGGTCCGTGACTTCTTGTTTGATGTGGGCGTCTTCAGCGGGTCTCCCCTTAAACGTTGCAATGCTTCGACACGCCGGCCAGGCCAAGAGGCTGGAATCCCAGCAAAAACGTCAGACTATTCAAGGTTGTTTCGAGGTGAAGGGTCAGTGACATGTCCACCGCATTTCTCCACCGTGGTGTATGTCGGGATCCGTTCACTTGTGATGGGTTTCCCTGAACGAAAGTCTCACACCGCGCGACACAGAGCGCAGCCATGGGAAGTCTATATATGCTAGTTGGAAAAGTTGGACGCAATGCGATTAAAAGATGCTCAAAGACTCGTGCCAAACCCGACTATGCGAGAAAATCCGGAGGGCGCAAATCGATGGAGTCCCCTCAAATGGATCATCTGCCGTCTAAAGAGGAAGCCATCCCACAATACTGTTCCCCGGATGAAGTTGGCATTGGCGCATTTCTTGAGTGACGTCAGCCGGCAGGCGTGGGTAACCTGCATCACCGTGCGAGACTCTGTTTAAAACGTTAAACCACGTGCAATTCAAATGAGTGTTTGTGGCGCATGCTAGACGTAGTATTGGTCAGAATGCAGACATGTACAGTTTCTAAAAGCATGCTGATGGTGAACAGTACTGTTCAGCATCTAAGACGTTGAGTTCGTGAATCTAGGCTGCACGAACAAAACACTTCGGGCTGTTTTGTTGTGGTCGCGATTGTTGCAGGCCTGAAGCTCATCGATTCTGGATAGAAGCTGCAGGTCTTTGGCGTCCATTGATGCAGCTTTGGCATCCATACTCACACGTCCAATTGAGTGGATGGCCCGGAAAAGTCCAAACCTTTGGTGTGCCACAAACATGGTCTTCCCCCCCCCTCACAAAGAAGAAAAGCGTCCATGAACTCAGGAAGTGAGTATTCTTGCAGGCACATGGCTCGTCATTCTCGCTCGAGCCGAGTCTGCCGGCAGAGTAATCTCGATAAATCTTACAATTTCCAACTGAAACAGGGACTCCCAAGTAGGGACCTGCATAATCGATTTTTCTCGTTCTACCCGCAGGTGCGCTCATTCTCATGTGCCCATATTCATTCTCCGCGTGCAATCTGGAATGAGACGAGTTGTGTCAGCTCAGAGGGCCTGCCCCCTTCCCCTTTTGCCCAGGTGTGAGCAACATCCAAGCTTTTGCGGGTTCAATGGAACATGAAATCTGAATGTCTTCCAAAACAAAGGAGCGATTCAAATGTCTCCAATCACTACAGCGGTCCACACCCCATATGTGGGTCACGTTTATGGTTCCCTCTACAGAAACCTCCACAGCTTGCTTGCATTCATTCTCATTCTCATGTGCAGCAAGACCTGAAGCTTTTGCAGAGGGCTGGGGTTAAACTGAAACTCTGAAGCCACTAAGAGTCTGATGACCATCCGCACCAAGCCCAAACAAAGGGACCGGCTTTTTGACCATGGCACATGTGAGCCGCGGTCAACGTGACATGGGGCCCCGCAAAACCGCCGCCAGTGCTGATCACTTATGTTTCTGGGCTTGGCCAGCGCGCTTTCCTTAAAAGAGGGCAGTAAACGATCTGCAAAGAAACCTTGTGAGCTCTATTTAACTTCTTCGCAACCCTCGGCATGGTAGCAAACAACTTGTGGTTTTGGCAGCCCCCACTGAAAATGAACAGAACCAAAAAAAGCAAACACCCGAACAACTTGCCAAATATCAGTAAAGATGTTTATTCCGGGTGAGCTCCCTATATCCTGAGGTGACCCCCACCGCCCCCCCCCCTTCTCCACCCCACACTCTCCACCCCCCCACCTCCCCCCAGCCTTCAACTCTGCAAAAACCTCTCGCCGCGCGACTGGCGCCGCCAAGCGGTGCCCGCAGTGAGCAGCACCCCCAGTAGCATGCACCCCAGGCCAACCAGGTCCTCAAAAGCCGTCACTGGCTGAACCCCCCCTCCCCCAAGGAATCGATTTTCATCTACCGCTTCGTTGATGGGTCAACTAAGGCAAACAGCACGGTCGTGTACAAGAAATGGCATGCAACCACATCATGTTGGCACTGGATGAATAACAACCGAGTACACAAGCGCGTTTTCGGGATCCAACACTAAAGAACTCTGAACTCTGACGCAGGCCTCAAGCAAAGATAGCCAAAGGCCCCCCCACCCCCCCCAAAAAATAGGAAGGATTTGTTGGGTCAGTCTGACGGGTGCCACAACCCAGCCCTAGCTTTGACTCGCGCGACAAACTTGGCAAGCTGGCCTTTTTCGGCCTCTAAGCAAGCGAAGCAGGTGCAAGCGAAGAACCCGCGACGTCACAGCCCCGTAGCAGCAGCCAACAGGGCTTTCACTGTCAGGGCCCCACGTCCGTTGAAGTCTGGTCCCGGCAAATGGGTGAGTGAAGGCGTATATCCTGGCATTGATCGGTGTTAAGCCTGGCCAACAGGGCTTCTAAGCGAATTTGGCTGGTGACTTCCAACTAATCAAAGGGTAACTTATGATTTCAAGCCCGTCTAAAGTGCCCTTTGATTCAAGGATTTGTTTTCAAGACAGGCATGGAGGCTACATACCGCTTGACCACTGGTACAAGCTGTATTTACTGTATTGCAGGCTTGTATTGGTGGCAAAACATACATTTATCGACACACCATACCTCGCTTCCTGAGTGGATTGGCCAAAAAAGTGTGTATATATATAACTATAGATATATATATATATATATGTTTCTTGTCATTTGCCCCCAAAATGGTCCAACCCCAAAAAGTGACTAAAGTCTGAAACGGAACGCATGGAGTGAGAAAACCCACAAACTCCCTTGATTGATGCTGCAAGATGATTCGCATCTGCGAACTTCGCCGAAGGCAGCCCAGGCACCAGCAGGGTGGGCGCTTTCAGGCCCAGCTGATGCCTGACAAACATCTGTCATGATGTTTCCCACCCCATCCTAACTGCAACTATCTAGAAAAACCATCAGCACAATATGCACTGCCCTGCAAGCTGCAACTTGGAACTTGAAAAACCATCAGCGCAGTCTACTTTTGGATTGACCCTCAAATCAGGTTTCGTGTTTGTTGAATCACGTAGGGAACACCCCGAACGTTGGAACTGGTCCCGTGGCTGCGAGAGGGAACCTTCGAGAAAAGGAGCGCAGCAGGGAGGTCACCCAAAGAAACAACATTGCTTGAAACAAGTGCCAGCTACCCCACGAACAATGTGGCCAATGCGAAATGCATACTCCTCCCTACCACTCGAAGAAACAACAGCAATATGCAAGCGCGCACGCAAGCACGCAACATGACCAGGCTTCCTTAACTTCAACCAGTTTCCTAGCACTGGGGACCCCAACACTTCTCGTTAGCTCCCCCTGCCAAGCAACCAATAGGAGGGCTCCCTCACTTCAGAAGACACTCAAATAGATTAACTCCCTAAAGGAAGGAACCAGCACCAAGGCAAGTTTTAAGGGAATCTTTGGGGCTGTGATCTAAGGGTTTCTCGGACCTGGTCCCAATGTTACTCTCCTCGAGGTCGCGTATCCAAACAGGGCCTGTGGAGAGGGGAACCAGCATGTTTCCGGCTTCACGGACGATTCAAGCAACCCCCTCAGAAATCGCCTTGACAACAAAAACACACACACACACACACACAAATAAAGCTTTCGCCAAAACGGGTAACTTTCATGGAGTGGCTCTTGCGCGAAAACTCCCAAGGAACCATAATTCTACACATGTGCTATAATTCCAACACCTGAACGAATACAGCCTCAAGTAAAGGACCTTCATCCCGGGTTTCGCCCTTTCTACCTCCTGGGTGAGCTCGCCAAAACAGATGTGCATACAATGCCTCACGTGTTTTTTTGCGATGTTCGACCTCCCATCAATTTGGGAAACAACACCACCTCACTCGTTGCCCTCGAAACAGCAACTTGCCTCAAAGGGCCATCCGCCAGCAGCACCAGCAGCAGGAGCCCGAAGAGTGGCTGCAAAGCGCTCTGCAGCACCGCAGCCACCGGCGAACGCAGGCCGCGGTTCAGGCCCACCGTGCAGCACTGAAAGCCTAGCGAACTCGCGTTGGATCCGGCCGTGGGGGCCATTCAAGGGCCTCGTGCTCCAAACAACTCGTTGAATGCTGGCTTACAAGGAAACCCAAGAATACAGTGGAGGCTTTGTGGGGGAGGATGCTTGAATCCTACGGTGTCAGCGACGGGGAGATCTACGACGCTGCAGCCTTACTGCTTAACCCTCGGGTGCTCTGGGGTTTTTTGGGATAGTTTTGGAATCGGTGCACTGTCGTGTCTGTGGCCCAAAATTCATATTCTGAAACCAAACAGCTGCCCGTCTTGGAGGATTCGCCGGAAAGGGGGCGTAGATCGTCTTTGGCTCCATGTTCGCTTGCAAGCTGAGGGCTGGAATATGCGAGATTGTATTTGGGGATTGGTGTAGCACACTGTGATGTTGATTGTGCTCAATAAGTCTTCTAGGCAATACGAATCCGTGGGTGGGGTAAGAGCTCACCATCATGTTAGAGGTCCCACAGACCCCCGAACCAAACCCCAAAGAAGAAATATGACAGCTAAACCTTGTTTAAAGCCTATTTACCCCTGATTTGCTCTGTTTGGCGTATCCTTCAGGGATATGTTCGGGGGGTTTGGTGGTAGCTTTGAATTAACACCATGCCAGCCTCATCCCAGCCTCTTTGAACGGAAACAAAGATGGTCTTCTATGTCTTCTAATAAACCCAGACACAAATTCCTCTAGGCACCATGGTTGGAAGGTCACATCTTCCAGTAAACGGACTGTCAGATTTCAGTTAACACACCCCATCCTCACGCACCTCAAACAAGATCAGCTGCTTCCCTGGAGCCTGGGGAAAATGAGTGGGCGCCCGAAACAACAAGAGTTGCCCTCCTGTCCACGTTGCCATAGAACCTGACTGAGGAGTGCTGGAAGACTTTCCTTTTACAAGGACCCTCTGGTGGGTTCCATGTTCAGAAACCTGCGCGCCTCGGTGGACTGACAGGAGGGCACATTGCCAGTGATTTGGGGTGCGACTTATTTCTTACAAGCCGAAGACCGTCAAGCTTCTCGCGCCTAGGGTGATGAGCACGCTGCCCAGAAGCAGCCCGCCGGAGCGGTGGAACCAGAACTCTCGGTCTCCTCCAACTTCATAAATGGTGGGTGTGTCCTTTTTGTTCGTGGGTTGCCTTTTGTTTTTTTTTGCAAACCCAAGCAAAAGTGGGATCCTTCAAAAAAAACACGCACCCATTTTTCCAAGGGTTGAGCAAATGGGGCAAAACAGCCCCTCTCACGTGCTAGAGGTTCTCTTCGCGTACTTCGCGAAGTACCATCAAGTCCAAATCCCAAGGATTGGAGCGTACGCAGCGTGGCCGGAGCGTCATATCCAACTCCAACACGCAGGTGTGGGGCATAGAAGGGCGCCTCCAGCCGACGCAACTAGCTGTCACGATGATTCAAGGGAGCATCATGAATTACAAGAAGATTCAATGCTAACTCACATTCCAGTTTCGACCACAAATATGGCTGAAAAAACACCAAGTTGTACATGGGCGGCTTGACTTGGAAATCTGTCCAGTTCAGCTGGATGGTATGCCGTGTAAAGAACATAAAGTCACAAACGACACAAAGAGAGCAAACCCTTTCTGGGTTTGACCACGTTCTGTCAAGCTCTTCACCAAACGAAAAGGGGAGAGCTGGGCTGTTCAAAATGGAGATGTGGCGGATCCTCATGCTTGATCACCAACAGATCAAACACAGGAGCATAAACGACGAATGATAACTTGACCTTGAGCCCAGAACAGGGCTGAGGATTCCCATTGTTTGTTTTGTTTCTTCTCCGCGGGGGGGGGGGGGTCGCCCTTTTGCATCCTTCGTAAGAAGGGAAAACCAGAAACGCTTCGAGAAATCCACCGTGGCCCCGCAGGATTGATCCAAAAACCCAAGGTTGTCTAGTCTCAGGCCCAAAAAAAACGAAATGGTGAAGGAAGAAGCATGCAATTCTTCCGGAGGACCATACAAATCACGGGTGGTTTTCTACGGACATGAACTACTTGGGGTTGCTTTGACCAGTAGGGTCAGTTGTGTTTCTTCCTTTTTTTCTCCGATGCAAGCCAATTGTGGTTGTGTCTGAAAATATGTCAATCCTCCAAGTTGCTCTTATTCCTTTTGGTTCCCCTTTACAAGACCCCAAGAGTCGTGGACCCCCCAAAAAGACCCTTATAAATATATATGTATATATATATATATGCTCACCCCCCCCCCAAGATCCACGCCTGCTGTGTGTGAGACTTGTTTGATGCACGCACGCAGTTTTCGGCCCTTTGCATTATATCCTGCAACTGCAAGTGCCCACCTCATTTGTAAAGAAGATGCCAATGCAGCTCATTAAGGAGAAAGCCATGGCTGAAGAGGTTGGTCCTGCTTCTCCTCAAGCACCCAATGCTTGGCCAGAGAAGATCGGGACCCTGCAGGATGGCCTCTTGGCCTGATATGGCAGATATTTTGTCACTTCATTACAAAATGTGTCTTCTGCTATGGCTCATATGCCCGGCCCTGGCTGTGCAGTCTTGCGGTTTGAAGGGCAGCTATTCAAGTGCTTTTGACACCTGAGGAGGTGTTGTATATAGCCGCTGTCTCTAACTACTAGGGCACGCACGTGGCGCGAAAAGGTGCGAGATAGCATTTGTGCACCCCAGCTTGGGCCGGGAGTATGGACTCAACTCATCCATCATCTGTCTGTGCATTTGTCAAACCTCATGCAATATATCTGCACATCTGTTTGCCAGCCTGTGCCTGTATATCTGCATCTTCTGCTAGCCAATTTTGATGCCAGCCATCTGTCAAGCTCAAGCATTTTTGTTGACTCGATCTACTTCCTTCGCCAAGCATCATGGCACCGCTCAGGGCCGGCGAAGTGACCCCGATGATGTCAAGGAGACACTCCAGAGGCTTGTCCTCCAACGAGTCCGAGGCGGGTCCCCTGGGCCTAGGAGATCTCCCCACATATGACATGCCAGACAGCGGCGTTGCGAAATGCATTGTGGAAATCATTACAGACGTTGCTGGCCCGATCCCTTCTGGTCAGATCAAGGAGGCGGCACTGGGTACGCCGACTTGCCCCGCCCCTATGGTCTGAAGTCCCAGCCTCGGCAACCCTACATGCTGGACATCGCGGTCCTGAAGCAAACAGATGGAAACTTCTGTGTGCAAGATCATCAACTTCGGAGAAAGCAAAGATTTCGGACATCTTGCCCATGACCTTCGTCAAGCCTTTGATGGTGGATTGGAAGAATAACGTGAAGTACATGAAGAAATATCTTCACTATGTCTTCGAGAACCTGGGTGGCTTCCAGTGTCGCCACCATGTCTTGAGGTCTCAAGAAGAGGGTAAACCAGATGCAGAGAGGACGGAAGGGGAATGGAACATCGGCTTTGACTTTATTGAACAGCACGCTCCCCGGGAGAATGTGAAGAATCGACAACTCAGGTGGGTTACCATTCAGACCTCTTCGCCAGAATCTCCGCTCCACAAGTGGTCGCCCATCTTGGTGGAGAAATCTATTCGGAACCTCGGCCTCTGACTCTATACGACATCGACGGCCGCCTTCTCAGCTCTCTTGGTCCCTTGATGGCATCCATGTCCGAGAAGGCTATTGGGTTCCATGGTGAGCCCGGTGCTGGTGAAACCCCAGTCGCCCGAACACTTGCGATGGCACTATCCAGGCACAACATCAGGTGCGCCGGCATGTCTAGTGAAGCGGTCCCTTCGCTTCGTCAGGCTTGCGAATTCGACATTTTCAGGGGCCAGTGCGGGTCGGTGCTGCGACATCTTCGTGGCTCCCTGAGTACTAGGTTCTCCCAAAGCAGGGTTTGCAGGGCTCATGTCCATGATTTCCATGAGCTCACGTCAGGCAAGTGACTTTTGAAAATCTTGGTTTGGCGGAGTGAGGTTTGCTCTTGATGAATGCGCAGTGAGGTGGGAGGCAGGTGAAAATGTTGTTTGATAGAAGCGCGCTACTTCGACGGGCTTGCGTAAGCAAGTTCTTTCCAAGAACACGCTGGAACTGCGTTACTTTGATTGCGCTAGCTGCTTTCACGGCAGAAGGAAGGAGTAGTTGCTTGCAGGCCAGGCAGCTTAGCGTGTTTAGCCTTGACGCCATCAAAGTTAGGGCAGCAAAATGTTTGTTTGGCCAAATTGCTTGTCGCAGTCGTGCTTCAAAGCACGCCGGTGGCAAAAGTTCAGAGCTTGCTGGGGTGATTCACAGGATGGGGGGTGTCTTTAATAGTTCCAGCGAGAGCATGGGGTGCGCAGGGGGTAAGAAGACGTTTTTTTTAAGGATCCTCTTGCGCTTAATTGCAAGGAGGCGGAAGATGCTTTGGTTCGTCTCGGCTTGCTCTGGTTTGCCTTTGCGCGGCGTTTGGACATCGGACACGTTGTGCTTTGAGAACTTTCAGCCTCTTGGACATTGAGTTTCTAGAAGGTCTTTTGCATTCGCTCGGCCGAGCCAATGTCCGCAGCAAATTTACTTTCAGCAGGCTTTTCAAGCTGAGAGCGCTTGTCCTCAGCGCATTCGGCTTCTGGCCATGTCGCTTTGGCTTTTGGTTCAGTTCCACATTGTAGATGCCCGACGGCCTGACACTGAGGAGCACAAAGGTTCACATGCGCCGCCTTAAGCCATTGCTTGTGACAACTTGTGGCAGCTGAAGCAAGCTGCGCATTATTCCGCAAGCAGTGCCGGCTTCACCATTTCACACTGCATTGTTGAGATGCAGCCTGGCAGCCTGGCGTTTAGAGACGCCCTGCGGCAGATCACCCGTGGCATGTGCTAGTTGCGCAGCGCGGCGGACAAAGATCTTAAGGGACTCGTCAAGCTTCGTTGGCGCGGGATTGTGCGGCTGCAAGGATGCCGTCTGCGGCTGAAAGTAAGCCGTTTTTTAAAAGACGCCTGCGGCCTGTGGTCTGGAGAGTGACTTCCGCGGCGTTACAGTTTCGAACAATGCGATGTCGCCCTGTCTTTCTCAAGATTTACCGGGCTGCAAGGACGCCGGCCGGCGGTGCCCAGTGCCTGCCTGCCAGTGCCAGTGCCGCACGGACCACATCCACGGTCCGACTGGTTTCAGTTTTGGTTCGCGCTGCTTTCAAGCGCTCTCGGCTTAACGCCGATGTCATTTGCGGCGTGGTTGTACAGCTACCCAGATGGCTTTCGACAATCCACGACCAATCTGCCATGGCGGGGCGGGAAGGAGAGTGGAGCAGAAGCTGGTGCAGGTTTGCGGTCCTTTCGCTTGCCTAGCCCACCATGGCTGCAAGGGCGGGTTGAAAGTGTTTTGCCGGTCGCTGCCAGACAGGCAGGAGCAGAAGGCGGGGATAATAGACCCAAGCTGAGTTGCTTAGCTCATGTCGCATTCGGGTGCGCTTACCAACACATCCTTACCCCCATGACAGAAGAAGAGGAGCTGCTGTTTCAATACTTGCATTATCCTTCAGATTTTTTTTGCCTGAAAGTGTTAGATTGCTGCCGGGTAGAAAAACCTTTCTATGTAGGATCTGCAACGGCTGAAAGGTTCAATCGGGATGCTCAGGGCTATGTGAATCAGAAAGTTGCGAGCTCTGATAGTCGTGAAGCAAGCCGTCTGGCGCAAGCCTCCATGACTGTACCTTTTTTGCCATACGCGCCAGAGGCCAGCCTTGGCGATGCTGCATTGCTTGACGCGGGAGCAGGCGCTACTGCGCAGGAAGCGCTGTCCACATGGCAGGTCGAAACCTCTGCGGACGCTTGCTTGGCTATCCCAGTGCCAGGCTTGTTGCCAGAACTCCTGGCCCGCAGGGCTTGGCCAGTCATTCCATGTCTGGGCAGATGGCTGAACGTGGTTGCAAGGTTGCCCAGAAGTCTGCAATGTGGCGTGTGTGAGAAGGGCCTTGCAGAGCCACAGCCTCATTTAGGTGAGTTGAGCGTGGGCCAGCTGTCTCACTGGATACGCCTTTTGCGGGCATGGGCGCCAGTGCTTGTTCGTGAGCACCCTGGTCAGGAAAGCAGCGCCGAGACCGAGAGGTGTTTGCAAGACGCAGTGCAGTGGCTTGTGAATGTAAGGTCAGCATTGCCGGGTCAGCAGCTGCCCGCAAGCGGGTCCAAGAGAAT